GTTGTGGGGGGGGGGGGGGGGAGAGCTAGAGAGCTCCATTGAGCTGGAGTCAGACTGTGGTGCAATGGACCCCTTTGGAAAGGTAGGAGGGAGGGAGAGGGTCTCATTGGAGGGAGCAGGGGTTGACTCCAGAGAGCAGCTGGGGCAGGGGTTTCTGGGGACATGTGGGACGCAGCCACATCAGACTGCCTGAGTCTGAGCTGCGGGTGGTTGGTGAGCCTGGGCATCCCTGACTGGCAGCATCCCTCTGGTCCCAAGCTGATCCCACATTTGTGGTGGTCTTGTTCCCCTCTGCGTGTGGGGTGAGGGGGCCCTGTTTTGTGTACGTTCAGAGTGTCTGGTGACTGGAACTCGGCCTCCTTGAGAGCAGACTGGGATGCGGGAACAGGTCTGTTTCCTCTAAATGGGAAACCAGAGGGTGAGACACAGTCCTGCTTTTCTCCTCTACTTCAAAATGTCTTCCTGCATCAAATCTGGGCCTATTTTGGGGGACAGGTGGAATAAGGCACAGATAACAGGCCTGGAAAATGAGGATGAAGGGTACGACTCTGTCAAGAACCCCAAAACTGCAATGACTAGACACAGTCCTCTGCTCCCAGGAGGGCACGGAGCTGTGAAGGATGGCCTTGCTTCCTGACCAGGTCTTGTGTATTTCCCTTTTCATTTCCCTTAGTTTTATGCTTTTCTTCCCTGTTACCCACCCCACCACTAAGGTTTCTTCCAGCCCAGTGCTTCCTTACAAGGAGGTCTGACTCAGACTTTGTCTTTAAGACCATACTAAAGGTACAGATTTTTTGTACCTCTAGTTTTGCAGCTATTGCTACTTTTACAGTAGAGGTTTCTGCAGCTGTTGGGACTCCCTGGTGCTCCATCCTGTCTACCCACCTCTCTACGGAAGATCCCACTCTGCCTTTGCCTTCCTGATACCTGTGTATGCAATGCACCCACACGGCCTGTGCTTTTAATTTATTTTAATACTTGGTGAGGCTTCCCCAATAAATGGGTGGAAATGCAACATCCAGGCTCTGACTGCTTTCTCCTGGCACCACCTGCATGAATGAGGTGGGGGACATGGTCCTACTCCTGGCCTAGGCCCTGGGGCTGGAGCCCCAAGCCGTTAGCAGCTGTGGGCAGCACTGCTGTGCTGGGAGATGAGGGGAGCTGTGGTGCTTCTGCGGCTCCCTGGGTGCTATGGGGTGTGAGCAAGGACTATGCAGGGGGCTCTTCCCTGTGGATGGAGGACCCTGGGATAGGGCTGGGGACTGGGTACCTCCTTGCTGGGGGCTGGACAGGGGTGGCCTGTCATGTGAGCATCAAAGAAGCTGTTGCCCAGGAGGGCAGGTACTGCTCGGAGGCATAGCCCGACCCGAAGATGCTGTCCTCCACCTGGATCAGTCCCGAAGGGAGCTCAGAATACCACAGTTCTGGAGACTCTGGCCTCAGGGGAGTGACCTCAAATGATGAGCCCGCCCTCAAACACTGTGCCTCCACTGCAAATACAAGAGACTGTGCCCCAATCATGTCTCACTGACCTCCCTAGTCCCCTCTCATATGCTCCCCTAAACACCACCCAGTGACCCCAGTCTCAACCCCATAGTAGCCAGTCATGGAGACCAGCAATGCCCAAACTGGTGAGTGATGGGGAGTCTACTGCATAATTTGGGGTGGGATGCTTCTAGAATGGGAGGTGATGCCACCTGTGCATCCCTCTGGGATCCCACATGGCCGGCCTGGGTTCTTGTTGCGCAAGCACCAGCTCAAAGCTCAGTTTGGGGCCATTTTATCTGGGGACAAATCCACTCGCTTTCCCAGCTTGGCCCTGTTCTGCTCCCTGCAAGTGGACAAAGGGCAGCTTTCATCAGCCAGCTGCAGCGGGTGTCCCCCCGGGCTGCAGGCCATCACCCACACTCCCCACAGCATCTTCACCTGTGGGAAAAAGCCAACTGCGCCTGCAGGGTGGCTCAGCCTTCTGGGCACTCCCACGGCCGCAGCGCGTGTGCTGCTGACGCAGCGGGGTGCCTTGTCGGTGTCTGTGCCCCCAGGAGCGTGCGCTGCCACACACGTGCCAAGAGCTGCAAGTGTGGATGTCAGGTAAGCACGTGGGGATGTGCACAGTGTCTGTCTAGTCTCGCTGCTCCCTCCCCGTGTCGGCACTCTTGCTCTAGCCAGTGCAGCCTGGGGAGGGTGGGGTGGGCAGGGCGGCATCCCACTAAGATGCCAGGTACCAAGTTTTCCTTTACCAGCAGCACAGCGTTTTCCCTGTCACAGTGAATGTGTTCCCGGGGCTGGGGGAGGTTTTCCAGATGCGTGTGCGTGATGTGCTGACTCACTGACACACTGACACGCTGACCCACCAGCCCAGAGCTGAGATGCTGAGCTGGCTGTGGTGGTACCGTTAAGTCTTTAATCTGGGTTATCATCTAGCCCTGCTCTGAGCCGTTTAAGTTTCCTAAACGGGAGGCCAAGATTAACCATGGGGTGGGGGGATGGGGCAGGGCTGGGGGTCTGGCGGTTGAGAGCTGCTGGTGGGGGGGTCTGTCCAAGCATTGTTTCCACCCAGAGGGCTCAAAGCTAGCGGCAAAACGAACCTGGGCCTGTCTGGCTATGCAGATGGTCCCTTGGGAAGAGGTGGGTGGTCTTGGGGCAAGTCCCCAGACCCCAGGAGGGAGGCCTGGGTTGGCTGTGGTGGTGTGGGTGGCAGGGCTGGCCCTGCCCAGTGCCCACGTGGGCCTTTCCGAGCAGCTTAGCTGGGGTCACACTCAGGAGTAAATCTGCTGAGCCGCTTACGCCTATTACAAAATGGGTATGCAGGCAACCCCCCTCACCTGTACCCACCATCTTGGCCCTGCCTTGGTGCTGTTGCTGTGGGACTCGATCCACTGCAGCAGTCTAGGGGCACCCTGGGACACAGCTAGCTGTTCTCCCCTCATGCCAGAGGAAGGGGGGAACTGTGCAGGCGTTGCCACCACTCCGTTGTGCTGAGACCTCCCTGAGGAGCAGAGACACTCCTCCTCACCCCTTGCTGTGTTTGGGGTGGCTGGCAGGGAACGGATCTCAGGCTAGGACAGTGGGAGGGAAACTGAGGCAGGGACCAGTCTTTTGCAGGCCATGGCCGGGAGCTGAGGTGTCTGATGAAATCTCTCGTACTGTAAGCCCCGTGTGGTCCCTCTGTTCTGGGGGTCCCATGCAGTCAGCGGAGAGGGCGTTTCCTGGAGCTGCGGCGTGGGTCACGCCATAAAGCTGCTCCTGTGGTGCACTGGACGCCTGCAGTGCGTGACGACACGCAGGGGCGCGGGGAGGACAGGCTACCGCCAAGGAAGGCAGAGTGCCCACAGCGGGGGTAATCCTGCTAAGAGGCTCTGAGGTCAGGCTGGGTGTGTGGCACAGCTCCCATCACCTTTGAGACTCACACTAGACACAGGCAACATTGTCCCAGAGAGCAGGATGGCACTGGCAGGAGCTGGGAGCCGCTGAGCACTGGGGCGGGGTGAGAGCGTGCATGCCACCATGAAAAGCATGTCTGGGGTCACCTGGGAAGCTGAGCACACACAAGGTGGGCCTCGTGCTTCCTCCCAACAGGCTCTCCTCCTGCAGGAGCCCCCTGGGAACAGCTCTTTACCAAGCCCAATTCCTGGTCCAAGCCCGCTCCAGCCCTGGTGGTCCCACTGCCCTGTCTGCTCTGGGCTGCAAGGCTTTGCAAGGCCACCATCTTGGGCCCGGAACTCCCACGTGGGCTGTCCAGGCAGGGGGCTCGTAGCTTTGGACTCACTTTCCCAACAATCAGGGCGCGATGACGATGAAAATGGGGCGGGGGCAGAGCTGCAGGAAGGAGCAGGGTCCCCAGGCCTAAGCAGGTCTTGGGGAGGTCATCCTGCCTCCCTGCTGTGCCCTGCTGGCATCGACACAGGCTGTCACGTTCTGGCTAGGGAGAGGTGGGCAAAGGCCACTTTCCCTGAAATAGCTGCTTGCACCCAGTGCCAGCCTGGCTCTTCCCCTGCATTGAGTCACTGTGGCACAGGGGGGGACTGACCTTCATCGTAAAAACAAACAACAAGCAAAAGCAGCGCTGCCGGCTGAGAAACTAATTTCCTTCCAACCGCCCGTCCAGTCCCCAGTCCCTGGAGCTCCCAGGCCCTGTTTCCCACTCTCGCTGACACCTGCATTCTCTCCTGCATCCCTCGGTGCAGGTACCACTGTTGTCCTGCTTTCCCTTCACAGGTAGCAGGACCTGGCTACCTGCAGACCCCATGAACTGGGCGAGGCTAGGCTGTCTCAGGGAAAGGGGCAGGCTGTGCAGGTGGTTTGGGCCATAGGACCCATTTGGGGAAGGAAGCAGAATGCTCTGCAGTCCCAGCTCTCCGCTTGTCTTCTGTACAGTGACACCAGTGCAACATGGGACTTGGCTTTGGTGCTGCAGGGATGTACAGCTGTGGTGGTAGCTCAGGGGCACCAGGCTGTATGCAAAGAACAATCACTGTCAGGCCCTTGAGATGGTCTCCAGCCCTGCAGCGTGTGTGATCCTCACCCTGTCCACCACTGGTAGCCCCAGACCAGTTGATACAGTGGAGAAACTTCTGGGTGGTGAGTAGGAGGCTGAACTGCAGGCAGTGGTGCCACACTGGGACATGGCTAGGAGAACTGCTGGGACAGCAGTGAGGCTATGGGCCATGGGGCAAGCAGCCAGGTGAGCTTTTGGGGTGGGAGAAGGCTTTTTGAGGCACAGACATTGCGGTCAAACAAGGAGGCACCTGGGGGGACCCATCAGGGCAGCCCCAGGAGGATTGCTGGACACCTCAGCAGCTTGCAGGATGGGGAGGCAGGAGGATTTCCAGGTGGAAATAAGGCAGCTCATCTCCTTAAGCAGCTGAATGGGATCACCTGCAAAGATGGGAGGGCTAGTTCAAGGGGAAGGAAGAGGTTGTAGAGCATGCCCACCGGGGGCAAGATCATT